CAAATGTCATTAAAATTTAATAAACTATCATCTTGGTAGTACTTCATCAGGTGGTAACCTCCAGCTTACAGTGGAGCAGGTCGTGGATGAGATCAGCACGTCCTCAGCTGCAAACTGATGCGTCTGTTTGTTTTGTAGAATCTTTGAGTTTCGAAAGTTAATTGGAGACAGAGAGAAGTGCAAGTCTCTGGTTCCTAACGACTATCCCGTTTATATAAACAAGGTACATCATTTATTTCCTCTTTTCCTTCTTGTGCTGTTTTGTTTTTGTATTATTAGTTATTATTTGTGTGTTTGTGTGCAGACAGAGGAGCTTGCTGACTGTCATGTCCAAGAGGGCTTCTTTATCTCTCCTCTGGAGCATTTGGTTCCTGGGATCCTGCCACAAGAGGCTATAAAGGCCAGGTACAAGAGGTGCTATTGTTTGCCACTGCAATGAAAGAGAGACAGAGAATAGACAAGATTTTTACAAACCAGTTCAGGTTCATCTGTTTCATTCAACAATCCACTTTTGCTCTTCTCATTCTGCGTCGCCACCATGTGCGTATGTAAACAAAGGCACTGCGCACGCGCGTTTTACCCATATTCTATCGTGATATTTGATTTTCCTATCGTTGCCCAACATTACACTGGTATTACTGTGAGCGGTATGATATGGCCCAGCCCTAATTAAAGATATAGTTTAATGTGCCATGTTCTGCTGTCCATCTGAGGTTGTATTTGCTGAATTTGGAGCTAGCCACATGGATTGTTAGGGCTGAAATGTAAGCTGTGTTTGTGTTGAAAATGTTTGAAGAGGATTTACTTATGCTGTGGGAATGCTGCCTGTAGACCTGCAGGTCTCATCGTTTGTGTTGTTTCAGGTTCCAGTTCATAGTTCCTAAGAGATGGCAGAAGAACAGACCAGTATGTATCCACTTAGCTGGGACTGGAGACCATGTAAGACTCTTACCTTTATTTTATATGAATGTGCTCCCAGGCATCCACAGAACTCATAATGCTGAAACAAATACTTATAATACCAAACCAAAAAAATAAAACATTGTGCTGATGGATTTCTGTCTTTGCCTCAGCAGCTTTTTCTTTATCAGGTAGAAAAACAGTTGTAGTTGTAACTTCTTTACACTGACAGAAGCAGAGTTTGACTGGTCCAGACCATTTAAGATCAAAGTGGGCCGTATGTTGACACCCCTGGAGTAAAGGCCACTGACAATCTTGTTTTCCTTTGAAATCAACTCAAGTCCTCTGACTTATGAAGAAGAGCGTAGTATGTTTAGTGCTGTTGCTCATTTGAGGTCATATTTACATAATTATAGAAGCTATTGGGGCCAGATGATTCCTCAGACCTAAAACTCGTGCTGTGTTTTTGACATTACTGCAAGAAATCCTCAGAAGTTGAACAGCAGACTTGGTTCAAGGTCCAGATTTACTGTGGAAGCAGAGAAACGCGTCAGACGAGAAGATTTAATAAATAAATGGTGTCAAAGTGTGTGGTTAACCCTGGAAACTGACCCCAACAATCTGTAGGAGGAGATGTCACTGTGATGATGACCTTTGGAATGCTGTTTCTATCCTTGTGTTTCTGTAACCTGCAGTTCTTCTGGCGTCGGCGGACCCTGATGGCTCGGCCCATGATCAAAGAGGCAGGGATGGCGTCATTACTTCTGGAGAACCCTTATTATATCCTTCTGTTGCCTTTAACAACAACATCGTTTGTTGTTAACTTTCTTTCAAAGTAACTCACGACAAACTCAGTCAGTGTGTACAAACCAGTACGATGGGCTGTCGCTGCTGCTGCTGATGAAACAAGCACATGACAAACATGCTGTGGAAAGTTTCTGTAATAACCTGTCTGTAAACAGAGTGTGCACTACGAGCCACATTCACCTGTTCAGTCACACATTCATCGAGCACTTCTGTTACAGACACGTCCACACTTGGATGCATCGATTCACGATCCTGCCCGAGGACATTTGTAGATCAGAGGAGCTGGGCATCGATCCAGTGACCTGATTAGAAGATTTATTGTTGTTTTTATTTAATGTCTACCACAAACGTTCCTTGACTGATGCTTCACATGGTTATCGAAAACCCAGAGACCAACTGTAAGTTGACTTGATCGATTAAAACCAGTTTGGTTGTTGGTTTGGAAAATTTAATCGATTTAAAAAAAAGTGATTTTTAACTTTGTGAAACAACAAAGATTCTCATTTAGTTCTCATGTTTGCAACAAGAAGGAGAAAAGAGGCAGAAACGCCTTCAATGTTTCCAAATCAGATTCATGGGCTGATTCAAACACCTGTTGGCTTTATTTACATTTTAAATGCACCACTAAGGCTGTCGCTTTCAAGCATTGTTTGCTTCTAAACTGATTCATTTGACAAAGCGAGACTGTGTGAGACACACTGAGCTGTTGGACGTTGTTATAAAAACAGACTTCACGGCTCGATTTTTCTCAAAGTTCAAATGAATGTATTGTAAATTGAATATAGATATCATTTGAGTGTTTTAGACGATCCAGTCTAAAAAATGTGTCGGACCTGTTTGTGATGGGCGGGGCTTTGATCCTGGAATCAACAGTCCTGCTTCGCTGGCTGGAGAGAGAAGGATACTGGCCCCTGGGAATGACGGGCATCTCTATGGGAGGATATGTAAGTCAAAGAGACTTATTCAGCAAACAGTTAATGTTTCAAATAACATTTTACCACTAAATGTTTAGTTGTCATCTTGTTATACGACAGAGCAGCATCTTATTCCAACTTTGTTTTATTGATTTCAGCCACGACATACAAAGTTAGCAACAGCAAACCCCCATCCCGAATTCTCCCCCTGCCAGGTCCACACGAGACAAGACACCGCAGAGATCCAGTCTCAGGACCCATACACATAACAAGCATGACAAAAAGGACCAAACTAAACAAAAGGGAAAAAAATAAATAGATAAATAAAGTAAAAATAAGGTAAAATGAAAAAACACCAAACTTTATAACGTAGCCTCGCTCAGCTCACTTCAGTCTCAGGAAGTAAGGTGATGGTGTCCACCGGTAAGAGAAATGATTTCCAGGTTTTGTTACATTTCCTAATAGAACCTTTGAGAGAGAATCTAAGTTTTTCTAAGTTTACGTTAAAGAGTACGTCCCTCACCCAGTGGGCTCATGTTGGGGGGTGGGGAAGCTTCCACTTCAACAGAACAAGCCTCCGAGTCCGTAAAGTGGGACAGAGCAGCATCCTGGTTTCATTTGGGGAAAGAAACTTGAAGCCCGGTGTTATCTCTCTAAAGTGTGTCACTTGTGTGTCTTTGTATCCAGATGGCGTCCCTGGCAGTGACCAACTGGCCCAAACCCATCCCTCTAATTCCCTGTTTGTCCTGGTCCACAGCCTCCAGTGTGTTCACCACGGTAACGAGCAGTTCTACCTGCTGCACATCTATGAGGACACGTTCACTTATTATTGCTGTCATACTGTTTCTGCAAAGCTGATGTTACTGATCCAATACTAGTGTTAAATTCATGCTTCAGAGTCTGAATGCAGCTGAAACTGGGAGTCAAATTTCTTCAGTTTATCAAAGTCAGATAAGACTGATTGATACTGGTTGATCTGACATTTATTGATCTTTCAGGAGTTTATTTGTATGTTTATCTGATCATTTCTTGAGCAGGAGGAACAGTTAATGACTGAAAAATGTGTGCGTGTGTGTGCATGCGTGCGTGTGTGTGTGTGTGTGTGTGTGTGTGTGTGTGTGTGTAGGGTGTGCTGAGTAAAGCAGTGAACTGGACGCAGCTGGAGAAGCAATACGCAATTAATTCCAGGTATGAAGAGGAGATCATCAAGCTGCTGGAGTACTGTGGGGTAAGTGTTCCTGCACTTTCACAGGAGTACAGAATATTACTCAGATTACTTTCACAACTGTATGAGTACAGTGACTGGAAAAAGTATCCGTGTATTCTTTCATCTCTCCGTCTGCACACACTAACACGCTGGTAAAATGTTTTTTGCAAAGATTGAATTTTTCTTTATTTACTAAAAGAAGAAGTTAAGTGTGAAACTGTGCTTGTTGTGTTTGTGGTGTTCTTGTGTCATACGTGTAACACATACATGACTACACTACATCTTTTGCTGCGTGTCCACTGCTGGTAGGCTGATTCCTTTAAGATGGGTCCCAAACTTGTAACGAATGTGGACGAGCATTTCCACGACCTGTCTAAAGACCACAAACTGTCAGTGAGCCGGTGCACCAGAGTGGACGGAGGAAGTGACTGCGCTGGGGCCACAGGCGGAGCAGAGCATCTGTTGTCGCTGGGGAACAGTGTTGGAGCGAGCTTCGAAACTCTGCCAACGTGAGTGTTCGATAACTAAACCTGCTGATGTGTTGGAATTTTTGGAGTTTGCATTTTGTCCAGTTATTAGTCGACGTTGCTTCTTTTTCTTTTTTAAATGACTCATCCAGCTCAGTCACAGGAGGCTCCAGGCTGACAGAGGGGGACAGCCAGCACATGTGCTGGGCAGCTCGCTGGCCTGATTCTGGCTAAGACAGTGAGACGAACCGTGAATCACAAAAAAAGATGACATATTTTTCACTGCTTTGCAAGGACTTTGAATTGATTTGTTAAACCAGGAGAAGAAGCTGTCTTTGACTCCAAACTGAGTGTGGTACCTTAGCATT